TTTCCTTAAGATTCCATATAGTTTACCATGTGTGTAGACAGTGTATCTAAATCAGTATACAATTTTTCATACTGTAAAAGTACTTCTCTTGTCTCCAAATAATCTACATGTGTGCCCTCCAAAACCAGACTTGTTACTCAATGTCATACATTTCATGGAATATATAGACCTTTTCATCATATTACCTGTATTTAGAGCACCAATTTTTCATGATTTGCCAAAACAATCTAAGCTCATACCAGTTGCCTGGGTGTAATGCTCAAAATAGCTCCGTTTTATTTTGGGTTTGTCCTAGTTTGTATTAAAAATATATGAATAACTTTATTAGGCAAAAGAGAAAATAATTCCCTTTTAAAATTGTTATGGAATATATGATACAGGTCCTACACTTTTATTTTGTAAACAAAATATTTTCCAATCACCATATCAAAGTAGATGATACATTTCTTATTAAGAGATAAACTTATCTTCTACTGATGACAAATTATTTGCATTTAGTTAATCCTATAGCAAATAGTACAGATATGCCATCTATAACTTTTAGGTGGTCACCTATCTGGTTTATTCTGGATTTATACGTTGTTACTCACATTTCCTATCTTCTGTGAAGAAGATGCATTCCTGTATGCTTTGCTTGCAAATTCCCTCCTGGGAGACTAGGAGATGATGCGTTACCTCTGACTTTATTTCTTAAATAAATTCTTCTAGTAAATATGGTTTCTCTGACTTGTCATCAATACCTGATTTTATTAATATTTGGGATATAGTTTCAGCTCAGCTAGTAAACAAGTATATGATAAGAGTCATAAATATTTTTGTTGATAATACTATATTAGATTGAGGACACGAGCAAAACCATTCCTCTTGAAAAATCAAGTCTTCTTTGTGTTAACCATCTTTATTGGCTAAAAGGAGATTTCCACATTTAAATACCAAACTGTGCAGTTTGAAATGTTTAATTCATGATAAATGAGTATTATTCCTTTCTGAGGGCGTTTTCATATTAGAATTTATGTATAGGGGAATAATCTTTGCCAACGTCTACTTTTAGTATCTCTGAAGGTAAATTTAATGAACATAGAACATTTCACTCAGGTTTCCCTCAACTCATGTCTATTCCTAGCCTATAAATTATCCCTCTGAGTTTAGAAGTGTCCCTGCTCCCTTCCAAGGTGAACTTCTCTATTTGGTCTCAGCGCTTCTTAACTCACAGTGTCTTTTCTGCATTATTTCTCTTATCCCTATCAAGGATTTTCATTTTTATGTCTCTAATGGTTCTTTTTCTTCTCTCCTAACAGACATAATTTCCTTTACATGAATAAAATCTTCAAGTTACTTGAACCTCTACTAATTTTTCTCTTTTGTTTCACTGTCAAATTTGTCCAATTGGTCTATGTTTATGCAGCTTATTTTCCAAACATTTTGCATTCTATGGTCCTGTATATGTTTACACTACTCTCCTGAAATCTGTCTCCAAGGTAACCAAATTATTCTTATCATGAAATCATGTGGTCTGTTCTTAGTCTTGCTTCTATTGACTTCTATATAATACTGACCACTGACATGTAGTAAGAGTCAACATGCATCCCCCATTCAACAACTAAGTTATTTTTCTATTTTAAATCAACTCTATTGAAGTAGTTTATATGCAATACAATGTGACTATTTTGAGTGTACACATCTTCGAGTTATGACGAATTTTTGCATCCATATAGCCATCATACAATCAGCTCATTCAGTAGTTAATTTTTTCTATTCCCCTAACCTTAAGCAACCACTGTCCTGGAATCCACACTAGCAAAAGTTTTGTTTTGTTCATAACAATGAAATCACACCACATGATTTCCTTTGCCCCAGGCTTCTTATTCTCTTCACAGTATTTCTTAGATTCATGCATTTTGCCATGAGTATCAGCAGATCATTTCTTTTTTTATTTCTGAGTAGTAATCTATCATAGGATTATTTCAGTATTTGATATCTATTCATTTGTTGATGACAAATAGTTTCCAATTGTGATTATTATGAACGTTGTTATGAAATTTTATGAAACTTTATGTAGGCATATTTGCATCTCCTTTGGATGCAAATTGTAAGTGAAATTGCTGGGTCGAAATTTCAGTAAATGTTTAATTTTATGAAACACTGACAAATAGTTTTCCAAGTGGCTGTGCCATTTCACATTGTGAACCAGCAGTGCATGATAGATCTTTAGTATTTTTTGCATACAGAATTTCACCGACGATTAAAGAGTTTTATTTTCTTCTTTCTAACCAGTATGTCTTTTATTTCTTGCCTTACTAAACTAGTAAGAATCTTCAGTAAAATGTTAAAGTGGTGAGCAGCAAAATCCTTGCCTTCTCAATCTCAACTGGTTTTTCACTATTAAGTATGATATTGTTTTTCATAGATATTAATTTTAGGTGAGTTTGTTCATTTTGGGTCCCATCTTCCTGAGTTTATATCATGAATGTGTGTTGAGTTTTAACAAACACTTTTTCTGCATCAACTAAAAATGAGAAAATAACATTTAATATACAGACGGTCCCTGACTTACGACGGTTAGACTTAAGATATTTTCGACTTAAGATGGGTTTATCAGGACGCGTCACCATTTAAAGTTGAGGAGTATCTGTATATTCACATATTAACCATTTCTTGCATTTTTCTTTCATTTGGACACATCCAAGTTTCCATATGGTATCATTAACCCTCTGCTCTGCTTGAAAATGTTTTTAGCAGTTTTATAATACAGATCTGCTGGCAATGACTTTTCTCGGCTTTTGTTGTCTGAAAAAGTCTTTATTTTCCCTTCATTTCTGAAGAATATTTTCACTAAATGATGAATAACAGGCAGGCAGCCTGTCGTTTCAGCACTTTAAAAATGTTCCATTATCTTCTGGCTTGCATAATTTCTGACTATTTTTACAAGTTATGTGTTTTCTCCTCATACAGGCTTTTTAAGAACTTAAAATTTAAATTATCATACAATAAAAATGTTTTTACTTTCTTTTCTACATCAAAATATATTTATTGAAGAAAAGGCTGGAAACGGATACAAAAAATGATAATGTTCAGGGGCAAGACTACACATAAAATTTGGGCCTATTTTTGAGACTTTATACAACAGGCTATGTTGTTTTTTTTGTTGGTGGTGGTGGTGGTAGTGTGTTTTTAATGGAATTTGTTTAATTCTAAGTTTATATGTTTTTTCCCAATTATTGTGGTACAATACACACAAGATTTACCATATTGACCATGTTTTTAAGTTTATGCTTCAGTATTAATAAATTCATTCATAATGTTGCAGCCATCACCACCATCCATCTCCATAAGTCTTCTCATCTTGTAAAACTGAAACTCTGTGCCCATTAAAAATAACTCCCCTCAGCCCCTGGCCACCACCATTCTATTTTCTGTCTCTATGATTTTTGACAACTCTAATTACCTCATATAAGTGGAATCATAACAGTATTTATCTTTTTGAGACTGGCTTACTTCACTCAGCATAATGTCCTCAAGGTTCATTGATGCTGTATCATGTGTCAGAATTTCCTTCTTCTAGAAGACTGAATAATATCCCATAGTATGTTTACACCACATTTTGCTTATCCATTCTTCCATCAACAGGCACTCAGGTTGCTTCCACTTTTTAGCCACTGTAAATAACGGGTACACAACTCTCTCTGAGATCATGCTTTCAACTCCTTTGAGTATAAATCTAGAAGTCAAATTCTTAGATCACATGGTAATTCCATTTTTAATTTTTGAGGAACCACAGCTGTATCATTTACCCTCCCACCAACAGTACTCAAGGTTCCCATTTTTCCACAACCTTGCCGACATTTGTTAGTTTCTGGATTTTTTGATAGTACCCATCCATTAGGTGGGAGCTGGTATCCGATTGTGGTTTTTATTTGCATTTCCCCAATGATTAGTGATGCTAAGTATCTTTTCATGTATTTATTGGCCATTTCTGTATCTTCTTTGGAAAAATATCTATTCAAGTCCTTTGTGCTTTTGTTGACTCTTTTGGTTTTTTGTTGTTGAATTTTAGGAGTTTCATATATTTTCTGTATATAAATCCCTTCTTAGGTATAAATTTGCAAATATGTTTCTTCCTTTCTGTGAGTTGCCGCCTTGTTACTGTTGATATTTTTTGATCCATAAAATTCTTCAATTTTCATGAAGTCTAATTTGGCTATTTTTTCTTTCGTGGTCTATGCATTTAGTGTCATATTCAAGAAATCACTGCCAAATCCAATGTCGTGAAGCTTTTTTTTCTTGAGTATATCTTAGTCCGTTTGTGTTGTTATAAAGGAACACCTGAGGCTGGGTAATTTATGAAGAAAAGAGGTTTATTTGGTTCATGGTTGTGCAGGCTGTAAAGAAGCATGGCATCAGCATCTGGCTCTGGTGAGAAACTCAGGCTGTTTCCCCTCATGGCAGAAGGGGAAGGCCAGCCAGCATGTGTGTGCAGCTATCACATGGTGAGACAGGAAGCATCAGAGAGAGCGGAGGAGGTGCCAGTGTCTTTTCAACAACCTCTTCTTGCAGCAACTAAGAGTAAGAACTCACTCTCTCAAGAATGGCACTAAGCCATTCATGAGGGATCTGCCTTCATGACCCAAATACCTCTCATTAGGCCCCACCTCCAAACATCAACATAGGGTTTGGAAATCAAGTATTTCTTTTATTTATTTTTTAATTGACAGATAAAGTTGCACATATTAATCATGTACAGCATGATATTTTAAAATATATATGCACTGTGGAATGACTAAATCTAGCTATTTAACATATGCGTTCCCTCACATAGTTACCATTTTTGTGGGTAGAACACTGTACATCCACTACTATTGCATTTTTCAAAAATACAGTATAGGCAACCCTTGAACAACACAGGTTTGACCTGCATGGGTCCACTTATACGTGGATTTTCTTCTGCATCTGTCATCCCGAGACAGCAAGACCAACCTCTTATTTTTTTTTTTTTTGCAACTTACACATACTTTATTTACTTGATTGCAAGCTTACTGTACATAAAATGTTTAAATGATTAATATCAGCTTTGTTCACGTTGACATCAGGGAGCTGTGTTTGGTTTTCTGTGCTCAAGATTGCTTAATTGCTGCTGTCGCTGTTGGTTTGTTTTCTGTCAGGATCAAGGTGGGTGCTTTCATATAATATCTTATTTTTAATTCCTTCTCTGGCAATTCTTTCCTGGATTCTTTGCTTTGCATAATTATACCTACAATGGAACCAGCATCCTAAAGTCACCAAAATAAATCCTCCTACTCCAGCATCACATGATCTTCTAATTCTACTAGTTAATAAAAAATGTCCAAGGCCAGCCACAACAGATCCTAATGAACCATATAATACTGAATCCCGTGCACAGGAAATGTTTGCAACATCTAAGATTCCTAGGAGCTTAAATGGCTATAGTCCCAGCTGCTTGGGAGGATCGTTTGAGCCTGTAATTCAAATCCAGCCTGGGCAACATAGCAAGACCCTCTCTCTTCCCCTTCCCGGGCTCGCCGGGCTCTGGAGCGGCAGCCATGCGGACGAGTCGGCGCCCCAGCCCCGCCCGGGCCCCGCTGAGGGCCGCTGCAGAGGAAACCCCGCCCGCCGCGCCCCAAGACCAACCTCTTTTCTCTCTTGTTCCTCTTCCTCTTCAGCCTACTCAACATGAAGACAATGAGGATGAAGACCGTTATCATGAACCGTTTTCACTTAATAGTAAATACATTTCCTCTTATGATTTTCTTAATAACATTTTCTATTCTCTAGCTTACTTTATTGTAAGAATACAGTATATAATACATATGACAGACAAAATATGTGTTAATCGAATGTCTATATTATTGATAAGGCTTCTGGTCAACAGCAGGCTATTAGTAGTTAAGTTTTTGGTGAGTCAAGTTATATGAGATTTTCAACTGCACAGATGGTCAATGCCCCTAACCTCCAAGTTGTTTATAGGTGAACTGTATATTGTTAAAAATAGTCACCACATTGTGCAATAGATCTCTTGAATTCCTCCGATCTAAATGAAATTTTGTATCCTTTGACCATCATCTCACCAACACTCACTGACCCAACCACCCCAGTCCCTGGTAAGCAATATGCCATGCTCTACTTCCATGAGATCAACTTTTTTAGATTCCATTTGAGTGAGATCATGAGGTATTTGTCTTTCTGTACTTGGTTTATTTCACTCAACATAATGTCCTCCAGGTTTATCCATATTCTTGAAAATGAAAGGATTTCCTTTTTCTTTATAACTGAATAATATTCCATTGTGCACATATACTACATTTTCCTTATTCATTCACCTGCAATGAATATTTATCATGGCTATTGTGAATAATGCTACAATAAACATGGGAGTGCAAATATCTGTTTGACATACTGATTTCATTCCACTGGATATATACCCAGTAATGGGAGTTCTATTTTTAAAATTTTGAGGAACCTCCATGTTGTTTTCCACAATGGATGTACTATTAATAATTTACATTCCTGCCAACAGTGTGCAAAGGTTCCCTTTTCTTCATATCCTCAAAAACACTTTTCTCTTTTTGATAAGTCATTCTAAGAATGATGTGCTATCTCATTGTTTAATTTTGCATTTCCCTAATGATTAGTGATGTGGAGCATTTTTTTCATAAGCCCATTGACTATCTGCATGTCTTCTTGAGAAATGTCTATTCAGGTCCTCTGCTCATTTTTTAATCAGGTTATTTGTTTCATGCTATTGAGTTGAGGTCCTTACATATTTTGAATATTAACCTCTTATCAGATGTATAGTTTGCAAATATTTTCTCCCATTCTGTAGGTTATTTCTTCACTCTTTTGGCTGTTTCCTTTGCTCTGTAGAAGCTTTTTAGTTTGATGTAATCCTATTTGTCTGTTTTTGCATTTGTAAGAAATAAAAACTATAGAAACTTATATAGTTAAATATTTTTTGAAGCTTTTACAATGTAATTTTAATTGTTTAAGAACTTTATAACAAGACTATTACCCCTGAAGATTCTGGCTAGAATTGGTGCAAATATTAATCAAATGCTTTTATTTGGAGGCAAAGTTCTTATATATACTATTGTAATCATTTCCTCAAAAAAATGGGAGAAAAAAGATCATGCTATTTCATCATTTTTAGCTAATCAGAAAATTAGACAAGGACCTAGCTATAGAAGAGATGTAGTAAAATATAGGACTTAAGTGATGATATTAAAGTTGGCAAGAGAAACAAAAAGTGCATGTGACTAGACTAATTTCCAATACAATGTCCATGACTAAATAACCAGGAATCATCAATTTTATTTACCTTGGACCATGAAATAACTTTATAATTTCATCAAAAATGTGAACGTATCAACTGACAATTTTAATATACCATTATTTTATTTTTTATTAATACTTCTGACTTATAGAAATGCATAGAATATAGATCAAGGGTCAGCAATTTTTTTCAGGGGTCGGAGAGTATTTTAGACTTGTGTGGGCTACATGTTCTTTGTTGAAATCAATCAACCATGCCATTGTTGCAATCTAGATAATACATAAAAGGATGGCCTACTTGTATTCCAATAAAACTTCATTTACGACAACAGGTGGCTGCTAGATTTGGCTGCCAGGCCATAGTTTGCTTATACCTGGTATAGACCATTAAATCATGACGATCAACACCCATATCAACTCCCAGTTTAAGAAGTACAGGCATACCTTGGAGATATTGTAGGTTCAGTTATAGATCACTGCAATATAGCAAGTCACATAAATTTTTGGGTTTCCCAGTACACATAAAAGTTAGGTTTATACTATGCTGTAGTCTATTAAGTATATAATAGCATTATGTCTCAAAATTCTATGTACATACCTTAATTAAAAAAGACTCTCTTGCTTAAAAATGCTAACATAGAAACAGAAAGTGAACACATGCTATTAGGAAAAAGGTGCTGATTGACATACAGGGTTGCCACAAACTTTCAATTTCTTAACGCAATATCTACAAAGTACAATAAGCAAAGCACAATATTAATAAAAGAAGTAAGTATGCCTGTGTATAAATTTTAGAGTTATGGCACAGATACTGTTCCCCAGATTCAGGAACTATATTGTAAATTATCATCTTTATTCACATTTTTATACTTTTATCACTTATGAATGTATCCCTAAACAAGATATAGTATCCTTAGCCATGGATTAAGCTTTTTTGGTCAATATTAATTTTGTGAAATTCTATTTCACCACTGTATAGCATTACATTATAACCATATAATTTAATTATCTAATTTTCTTTCAATATACATTTAGATTATTTCCAGAATATCCTTGGTTAAAAACACTATTGTTACAAGTATTTTATATCTGTTTGTATACATATGCAAAAATTATTCCAAGGTATTTTCCTAAGAATGAAAGTGCTGAGTCAGTGTACATTTACAAATTCAACTTCATAAGATAATGCAAAATTATTCCTCAAAGTGATTGTATCAATTTACGCTCCCACTAGAAGATTCTACACCCTTCCTCATACATGAATTTTTAAGTACAAATTTTATACCAATTGGATGGGAGTGAAATTATTTCATTTTGGCTTTATTATTCATTTACATTGTAATTGCAAATAAGGTTGAAGTTTTTTTTTACTGACCACTTCTATTTTCCCCATCTGAATATTAAGAGTTTTTTTTTTTTTGCCCATTTTTCTACAGAATTGTGTTTTTCTTGTTGATTAGTAAGAGGTTTTTGTATAATCTAGAAAGCAATCATTGTTGATTATCAGTGTTAGAAATATCTTTCCAGTCTGTGGGTGAATTTTTCACTTTTATTAAAAATGTAGTAAAATACATATAACATAAAAATTACCATCTTAACCATTTTTAAGTATATAGTAAGTAGTGTTCAGTATGTTCACATCATTGTGCAATCTCCAGAAAGTTTTCATCTTGCAAAACTGAAATGCTATGCCCATTAAACAACTCCCCATTTTCTACTACCCATAGTCACTGGCAAATACTATTCTACTTTTTGTTTCTATGAATTTGACTACTCCAGATAACTCATTTAAGTGGAATTATACAGTATTTTTGTTTTTGTGACTTGCTTATTTCACTTAGCATAATGTCCTCAAGGGTGCAGCCATGTGTGGCAGCATGTGTCAGAATTTTATTCCTTTTTAAGACTGCATAATATTTGGTGTGTATATGCTGTATTTTGTTTACCAATCTACTTCTTGATGGACACTTGGGTTGCTTCCACCTTTTGGCCACTATGAATAATGCTGCTATGAACATAGGTCATAAATATATCTTGGAAACCTTACTTTAAATTATTTTGGATATACACCCAGAAGTGAAATTGCTGGATCATATGATAATTCTATTTTTAGTTTTTTGAAGAAATGCCATACTGTTTTCCATACTGGCTGCTCCATTTTACATTTCCATTAACAGTGTGCAAGATTTACAATTTTTCCACATCCTTGCCAATATTTGTTATTTTATATATTTTTAAATAGTAGCCATCTTACTGGGTATGACGTGGTATCTTGTGGTTTTGACTATATCATTTTTAAATTGGGTTATTTATTGGGTTTTGTTGTTGAATTGTATGAGCTCTTACATATTCTGGATACTAAGCCTTTAACAGATACATGATTTGCAAATATTTTCTACCTTTGCAAAGGCTGCCTTTCACTTTGTTGATTGTGTCCCTTGATGCACAGAAATTTTAAATTTTGCTGTAGTCCAATTTATTTATTTTTGTTTTTTGCCTGTGCTTTTGGTCTTACACCCAAGAAATCATGGCCAAATACAATGTCATAAAGTTTCTTCCTTTGTTTTAAGAGTTTTAAAGTTTTAGGTCTTATGTTTAGGTCTTTGATGCATTTTGAGTTGATTTTTATAGAAAGAGTAAGGAAAGGGGCCCAAACTATTTTTTTGCATGTGGATATTAAGTTTTCTTAACACCATTTGTTGATAAGATTGTCCATTGAATGGTCTTAGCACCCATGCTGAAAATCATTTCACCATATATGTAAGATTTTTTTTTTTTTTTTCTGGGCTAGAGATTCTAGTCTATTGGTCAATATGTCTGTCTTTATGCCAGTACCACACTGTTTTTATTACTGTAACTCTGTAGTAAGTTTTGCAATTAGGCAGTGTGAGCCTGTCAGCTTTGTTCTTTTCAAGACTGTGTTGGTTATTCGAAGTACCTTGAGATTCCATATGAATTTTAGGATGGGTTTTATTATTTCTACATAAAAATTGATCAATTGAGATGATCATGTGAGTTTTTTTCCCTTCTTTCTGTTATGTAGTATATTACATTGATCAATTTTCCATATACTGAATTGTCCTTACATTCCAGGAATAAATTTCACTTGGTTATGGCATATCATTCTTTTAACATGCTGCTGAATTCAGTCTCCTAGTATTTTGTTGATAATTTCTATATTAACGTTCATAAGGGATATTGATTTTGTGGTTTTCCTTTACAGTCTTTGTTTGATTTTAGTATCACAGTAATGCTGGCCTCATATAATGAGTTTGC